GAAAACTTTTTAAAATTAGAGATTTTTTCCCTTGTCATTTTGGCCAAAATTTGACCAAAGACCCTGTACTAAAGAACAAAAAAAATTAAAAAAAACAAGATGAAGTAGGATTCCGAATGACCAACGAAAATACAAAATGAAAATCCAACTCATGACGCAAATTCTACTCTACATTGCAAAGTGATCCGTAATTCTTACATAATAACATTAAAAGTACAATGTAGAGTAGAATTTGTGTCACGAGTAGGATTTTCATTTCGTATTTTTGTTGGTCATTCGGAATCCTACTTCATCTTGTTTTTTTTAATTTTTTATGTTCTTTAGTACAGGGTCATTGGCCAAATTTTGCCAAAAATGACTAGGAGAGAATTCTCTATTTTTATAATGATTTCTGATGTTCTTATGTCGTGTAGCAAGTTTGAGCTGATTCTGATTGAATTCAGATTTTTTACGAATTTTTAAAGTTACTCAAAAATTAGGTGAAAGTCCCTGTACTAATCAGATTTTTTACAAATTTCTAAAGTTTCACACTTTTTTACACCTTTTTTCACACCTTTTTTCATGCCTTTTTCACACCTTTTTTCACACCTTTTAAACACCTTTTTCACACCTTTTTAACACCTTTTTTCACACCTTTTTTTACACATTTTTTCACACATTTTTTCACACCTTTTTTCACACTTTTTCACACCTTTTTTAACGCCTTTTTTTACACCTTTTTAAACACTTTTTCACACCTTTTTAAACACTTTTTCACACCTTTTTTAACGCCTTTTTTACGCCTTTTTTACACCTTTTTTACATCTTTTTTCTCACCTTTTTTCACACTTTTTTTTACATTTTTCACACCTTTTTTAACGCCTTTTTTCACACCTTTTTGCGTTTTTTAACACGTTTTTTTCACACCTTTTCACACTTTTTTTCACACCTTTTTATACCTTTTTTCACGCCTTTTTATACCTTTTTTCACGCCTTTTTTATACCTTTTTTCACGCCTTTTTTACACCTTTTTTTACTGATTTGACAAACTTGGTATGATAACAGTTCTGAACTGTTTATATGAACTTAATATGATTAAGCATAGAGTTCTATAGCAACCTTGACCTGACTATTCTATGATAAAAGATTTGGCATTTGACTGTAAAGATAGTCTTATAATAAAGATAACCTTTCTCAAAGGATGAATAAGTTGAGGACTTGACCTTTCTCAAGGAAATAAAAAAGTCTGCACAAAGATGCACTTTATACTTCATTGTATCTCATAATAGAACAGTATAGCTGGCTTATTTCATCTGGAATTAATTTTTTGCAGGCTCAAATCTACATGTACTAATAATTAATTCCACTAAATACAATGTATTGATGAAAATTTTGTAAACCACGAAAATAAATTAATTCTAATGAGAACCCTAAAACAAAAATTTGAGACCACAAAATAAATCAGCAGGCTGTATTTGTTGTTATTTTGATGATGATTGTAATTTCCATAGGTTGAGACAAATAACCATCATAGCACAGGGTCATTGGCCGAAATTTGCCAAAAATGGCTA